GTTAGCAGGTTGATACGGTTTTAAAGTAAGGGAGAAGATACAGCAGCTGAATGAAAAGCAAAGGTACATGTAAAGCCAACCCTTAATACTCGCACTGACCAGTGATGTGATTAGTAAATGCTAGTGCTTTATAAACTGATACTGTTTATAAAACCTACTTAGGTTTTTCATGCTTGTGTTAGAACAATACCACTTTATTTTCCCCATACTTGGAAAGTTCCCTTTAAATCAATTCCTCTCAGTTTTTGCCTTCCCCTTCCATTTAACACCAAGTGTCTGATGCGCTGGTGGTTGTTCTCTCTCCCCCCCGCCCCATTCAACCATTTCTGCTCATGGGACATGTAACATTTCAGTGTGGCTGAATGCCAGCTCTGGTATTATAAAAGCCAGGCAGATAAGCTAACAGTGGTTAGTGTTGTTGTCTCACTTCAGCCTATTGTCTGACTTTAATCTTGAGCTGATTAATCTGTCCGAGGAGGAGCGAAGGTTCATGAGTGAGACAGGCAGAAAACCAGCCATGGATGATGGGTGGGTGGGAGCTGAAGTGCTTGGAAGGAAGAGCAGATGCACCTTGTAAGCAACGTGAAACCGTATGTAATGATGGGAGAGCAAAACCAGGCACATTGGAGAGATAATTAAGAGTCTTAGTGACTGTGGCTGGAACAGTTGTGGTTTGCTGGGTACGCAGGTGCTCAAATCCCACTGGCTTCCAAAGGGAGGTGAATGCTTTGTTTGTCTGGGGAAAAGATAAACAGACTACCCAGTAACTTTAGAATTTCATCAGTATTTTACCATTGGAAAAATTAGATGATTTGTAAAATGCAAAATCCTTTTTTAATTTTTTTTTTTTTTTTACAAAGCATTTACTGTGCTGATGTAAACAGGCTTGCTTGCTTCTAAGCCACAGGCTGTTGCATTTTGGATTTGACATCTCAGGAGGTCAAAAGATAAATCTACAGAATGTTTTCTGTTCATAGCTGAGAAACCACTGTAATCCTAACCTTGGCTTTGCCATGTAACTTGCTGAGAGTGTATGTTAAATAAAGAGAAACATTAGGATTGGGCCTGAACTTCACTCTGATTCAGGGAGCCACTACAAGGACCACAAGCTATTTAATTCCTCCTTTGAAGGTTTCAGTACTGATGAAGTGATGCTTAAATGATCTTTCCCTGTTCTCTTTTTGTCTTCATTTTGTTTCTGTTTTTGGAGCAAGCTCTGAGCTTAAATTGAGCTGGCAACTTCCTTTTCAGACCTCAGCAGCTGACATCATTTGTACAGCAGTAATCAACAACAGGAAGAAAACATCTGGGCTTGGAAGCATGAAGAGATCAAGGCTGTAGTGGTCTAGAGAATAAAGGGGTGACAACAGTCTGTGCTACAACAGTTTGTCTTGAGTGCATCCTGCAGACGTGAGGCCGCTCCGGCGGCTGCAGGAACTGAACATTCCTGGTTTCTGAGATGAAGGAATGAAGGATGGGGCAGCAAGCTGTCGGCTTCCCTAGAGAGAAGTGGTTCAGTGAGGTCAGGACAGCACGCTGCTTTTCGCATGGGAAGCCTCCAGGGTAATCTCCACGGCTGGGTTTGCTGCGTGCTCCGGTGGGTCAGAAGACCTTGTGTCCGTGGTCCTGTGGTGGATCCATACCCAAGGGTCATCTTGGGAACCTAGGGCTGTGGGAATGCAGCGGATGGAGCTTTCAGCAGCTGTTTTGTACTGCTCTGAAGCACAGGGACCTTAAATAAAAAGCTTTTTGTTTTTCACTCTGAGCTCTTGAGCTGTGCCTGAGGAGTAGAAGAACTTCCTCTGAACTGCATGTGGGCGATTCCTACCCATACCAATGGGCAGAATTAGTTGCAATGCTCAGTTCTTTTAACAGCAGGCAGGAAATCAGTCTTGACTCTTCTCCTTTAAAGAATCTAGGCTCATTTTTACTTATTTGGGCTTCCAAAAACCCCAACCCTAGTATGTGGGGATGTAGGCCGTGGTCTTGCAATGTAGTTGGCCCCTTCCATTGTAACAAGGGATGGTAAAATTGAAGAGACGTTTGCATTTGTATCTGCATTACCTCTAGACTCGCACTTGGGGTTACATCCACCTTCCTCGTGTTTTATGTGCAGCATCACCTGTGACGACACAGCTTCCTTTCTGCTCCGGGGTGCCGTGTGTCAGGTGTAGCTGCTGAGCAGCTCCAGCTGCCCTCCAGAGCTTGGACCCCTGTCCAGGGGTGTCCCTGTCACTGTGACTACCCCACGGTGTGCTCTATCATGTTGCTCCTTCCCTGAGGCTCTTTGGACTAGTTAAATCACAGGCTTTTGAAGGTTCTTGGCTTACCTCGCACATTCAGGCCGCCTTCTTGCTGACTTCTTCAACATTAATATAATGAAGTGGTTGATCAGTAATATTTGCCTGGCAGAAAGCTGCTATGGAAACAAATGGTGTTCTATTTTGATGGGGATGATGGGTGATTTGGCTATCGGTGAGCTCAAGGGAGCTGCTATGAGATGTGTCGGCAGTGCAGCTTCCATATGAGATATTCCTAATCCCCAGAGCTGACTTTCATGCACATATGCACCGCTACCTTCATCCCTTATCCTTATTGTAACCAGCTGTGGTTTGACTTTGTCAAAGATCTGATAGAGCCCTCTTACCCCCTCTCCCACTCCCTCCACAAACTCCCATTAGTCATACTTGGGCAGCGCATGAAATAAGATGGTGATAAAGCTCTGATCCTAGACACCAGAGTCATTCCGAGGGGCTCCATGCTGGGCTGTGAAGACTCCACTGTTAACCCCTTGGTGCCTCCAGGGAGAATTTCCCAGTGCCCGTAAGTCATGTGTCATCCTGGGGTTGATAGAGCTCTTAGGGCACGTTTAGTTTTATGTGGAGATGGGTTTGTTACTCTGACGTGTCAGAGATTAAATGGGCTTTCTAATTAGTCAGTTGGCTGAGGAAGACAGCTCTTTTGTTAAGGCAGTTGCCATTTGTGAAAACATGGGTTTTCCCTGTATCCCACTGGTAACACAGAGCGAATGTTATTTTTCTCCTTGTTGTTCATAGTATTTAAGCTAAAGATTAACTTTGGCAGAGTGATAAGGGGCTACGTACTGGCCAAAAAACAATTTAGTCTGGAAGGTTTCTGACCACTGGGGAGGAAGAGATCATGGAACAGAAATTAGATGATTTTTTAAAAAAACAGGACAGTTTATTGTCTGGTTAGATTTGGGTTGCTTTTCTTGGGGGTGGTGAAAAGCACATCCTTGACCTGATGCCAGTCATTAGGAAAATTTCAGTGCTTTCACTCATAGCGTAGATTTCTCTGGGCAGGACACTGCTGTCTGAGTGGATGAAGGCCACCAGCCCCTCCTGAACCCCTAAACCACTGCTGGTTAAAGCTGCAGCTGTACTGCCCATGTATCAGCAAAGAACTGTACATCACATCCTTCCCTCTGCAGGCTAGTGTGATACTTAGAGGCGCGAACACAGGCCTTTTGGAAAAGCACAAAAATTTTAACCACTGTTTTGCTCTCTGTCACGTAGTCGCCTTTGCAAAAGGGAGAGTGGTTGGGCAGAGCTTGGCAGGAAGGGTGGTTGTTTTGGGTAATCCTCTCGGCTTTCTGCAGTGTTTGGACATCTCAGATGGGGTAGACATCGTTACCGACTCGGGTGGCTGAAGCTTGTGGGTCGTTGAGGAGAGCTGTACCACTTTTGCAGCAGGTCGAGTGTTCCCAGGGTAAATACAGTTCTTAAGGCAGTGCAAAGCCAGTAAATCTAGGCTGATGTGTCTGCGTGGGGGTGAAGCAAAGCTTTGGACTTCACTGAGAGCGAGTAGGGCCCAAGGACTTTGTCTCTTATCCCAGTTGTGATTTAGAGCTAACTACTGAGCTGATGGCAGCCCAGATACTCATTAATAAAGTTAAAAATAAAACTACTTGGTTTTCTGTGCTGATAATTGAAGCAACTTCTTATATTTTTGTGTTATTTGATGTAAAACCAAGCCAGGGCTCTCCTCCTCCCCAACAGTGCCTGCCCAGTTTGTGACCCCCAAAGTCCCACAGGCTTTTCCTACTCTCTCAGCAGCAGTTCAGTTTCTGAGATGCTGGCTTGCTTCTTTTATTTCACCGCGTCTAGTGAAGAACTTAAAGATCCCTTGTATTCAAATAAAAATTTGAATGCTAGTCGGAATTACTGGGAGGAGCACTAAACCTTCAGGTCCAAATCTTTTTTGTGACCCTTTGAGGCTGTTCCGCATCTGTAGCACTGGTGGAGTGTTGTGGAACTGCCTATGGACCCAGTTTCTTCTGGACCTAATGTGTTGGGCTAGAAGGAGGATCAGACTGAGCAGATGCCAGAGGCAAGCAGGACTGTCTTGTTGTCAGGAGGTGTCTGTCCAGCCATGACAGACTGCTGGTCCTGCTTCTCCCAGTCCTCACTGGCACGCCGTCTCTGGAAGGTGCTCTTGGCTGGGATGAATAGCACATAGCAGCTCTGATCCATGCGTGGTGTCCTTGGTTGTCACTGCATACCTGCCAGCAGTAACACGTCTTTGCACTCTTTGGACACCTTTTCTAGCATGTCCAGAGGCACAGAGGCACTTCTTGGACATGAGGTGCTGACTACTGAAAGCTGCTGACTGATGCTCACAGGGAATCTTGCCCGTGTCATTGTTTATTTGTCATCAAACAGAGGAGTGGTGTTTATAGAGCTCTCTGCAGTGGTTTGTGTTTGCTGCCCTAGGAGTTTCATTTGCTCCATTCACAAACAATTGCAGTCAACAGGCTGTAGCAGTTGAACTATTTCCTTCAGCTTCTGCTCTGTAATCAGCTTCCTGGATGCATTCTCACACGTGGGGCTTTAGAAACCAGGTTTTTCAAGCACAAATATTTTAAGGGGAAGGGGATGTCTTGTTTTTGCGGCAGCCTCTGCAAAGCCTGCTTTCTGTCTTATATGTCCAGGAGAGCTACTGTGCCAGCCATTTACCAATGCTTTGGTTGTCTTTCCCAGTTGATCATGTGGTTCCTGAGCCAGGAACCAGTTTGCTGACTGCATTCGACCAGTGGCGAGAATGGGCAGACAGCAAATCCTGCTGCGACTACTCTCTGCATGTGGATATCACCGAGTGGCATAAAGGTGTCCAGGAGGAGATGGAAGCTCTGGTTAAAGATCATGGTAAGTTCAGTTACTGAAAGTTCAGGGAAACTTTTCCCCTCCTTATTTTTTGGGACCGACTCCCCTAATTTTTAGGACTGGCTTTTGCGCATGATTTGACTCTTTAAATTCCAGTAAAGCTGTTTTGGGCCCATTCTGGCTTCTTGTGAAGGTTTGGGCAGTCACTGCTGTCGAGGGCTCGGGGAGATGGTACACGCTGGTGTCGCTGCAGTGTGTTAGCTGGGTGAGCACTGGTTTTTGCAGAGGTGAATCTCTTGCTGCTGCCATGCAGAAGGAGCACCTTTGTTCAGTGGAGGCCCTTTGGTTTTCATTAGTGCAGGAGGCTGATAGCTTCAGCCATTAAACTGTTGTAAACAAGGGAAGAATTAAGCCCAGGAGCAACAATCCCGCACTGGTTGCTAAAAGTGGAGAAGAGCTGAATCAAATGACCTCATAGGTTTTTCCCCTCTTTAATTTCCTTGACGTTTCATCCTTAGGCTAGAGTAATTTTCCATCCTGTTTGTAGTTTAAAAACCCCAACCTTTTACATCCTAATGAGCACTTTCCCACACATGCTGGGTAAGAGCTTTCACTGGTTCAGAAGGCAGGAGAGGGAAAGCTGACGTGGGAGCACTCCCTGTGCCTTGGTCAGTCCGAACACAGTGCAGGAGGGCGCGCTGACAGACACAGATTTTCCATCCCTCTGGCAAGAGGGAGGGAGGCAGCCAGGCCCTGTCTCTGCTTTTGTCTGTGATGCATTTTGCTTATACTTTTTACTCAGCCTCCTATAATCCTGAATCCACAGAAGCATTCTTATTTCAGAGTTAAGTGGGGTTTTGCTGTCCCCACGGCTGCAGTGTTCTGTTTTTACCCATTGTGTTATTAAATGCCACTGGCTTCATGGTGTGATCTGTTGAGAGCGCGTGTGTCAGTGTGCACGCACGTGTGCATACACATTTCACAGCAGATTGAAGTAATTTATTTGTCTACCCATCATTACTGCTTGCCAGGGGGGGCTGATTCAGGGGGACGTCCTCTCTCTACAAAAAAATGGTGTGTTTCATAGCTTTATCTGTGCCTGCAATTTATATGTCAAAGATAATTCCTTTCGCTCTCTTCCTACCAGGTGTGAACTCCTTCTTGGTTTACATGGCTTTCAAAGATCGCTTTCAGCTAACTGATTCTCAGGTAGGAAGGCTTAATGTTCACATGCTTCTGTCACTGCAAGCTGCGCGTTAGTCACATACAAGGGTTTAAATTCAGTACACTGGGATCTGACATTCTCTTGCGGTTTCAATCTTTGTGTGTGTAACAGTACCTAAGGTTTGCAACAGTACCCAGAGCTCTGGTTTGAAGATTATTTTTTTAATAAAAAAACCCCCAACCAACAGCAAACCCTGAAAGGCTTGGCTGGGCAAAGCAGTGGCAAAACCCTCATTTTGGGAGATCGAAGGTTTTATTCCAGCTCCTTTGGTGTGGAAGCAGTGGCAATTTTATAAATTGCTGCTTTATGCCTAGGCGCAGGGCAGGACAGTGAGATCTCTGGCTTAACTACTCTGTGTGTTTATAAGCTGAAACTGATCCTGCTCCAGAAGTGGGTTTCTGGCTTTAGCGTTAGAATTGCTGGGACCTTAAAAAGGAATTGCTCTCCCATTTGCTCTTCTGGTGGATACGTTTGGGTACATTTAATTGTTGAGATGGGCAGTTTATATTTCTAAATGTGGTGGGAGGAGAGGAATGCCTGGGAGTCATTCGGAGCAGTGTAGGAGGCAGTGGTGTATGACAGTTATCTCTAATGACCCTGGTAAGCATTTTAATGAGTGGCCATTGACGGAGCCGGCGTCAGCTGTGGGTTATTCAACCTGAGCCCTCTCAGACTGGTTACTGGAGTGGGAAATCACACCGCTCCTGTTCCAGGCAGTGAGAGGGGTAGGTGCAGGTTCTGCATGAAAATCAGATGGTTTTTTTTTTTCATGCCCGGCACCAGTAAATGAAGGCATGAAACAGGTACAACTCCGTGAGCTCTTTAAAATCACTCCAGATATAGGCCTGTGCAGTTGCTGTTTCTTCCTCCAGTGTGGTAAATGCACCAAACCTGGCTTTTGATTAGTGCTGCTTTGCCATATCAGTAGCATCTGACTGTACAGATTGGGAAATTCACTTATAGGCAGGAAAATGGATCATATCTATCCAGCAAACTACATCTTACATTTCTTAATGCTGTTCTTTCTCTCTTACATTCTGCAAAATTCTGTATGCTGAAGGAGTCTGGAGTGTATACTTTATAATAGGTGTGTGCCTGAGTGTACACTCAGGGGATATTGTAATGTGTGTTTTCTGTCTTCCAGATATATGAGGTCCTGAGTGTTATCCGGGATATTGGCGCAACAGCTCAAGTGCATGCTGAGAATGGTGACATCATTGCTGAGGTATGTTATGTTTATTCCGTGGATTATTAACTTCAAAATGCTGGGAGGGATTTAAACTCTCATTCCTTCTTTGCAAACAGAAAATCATCAAGACTTATAAAAGCATGGCATAGCTGTATCAAAGATGCGAGCAGAGCTGTATGTACATCCAATTTTAGCCCCTTCATTGGCACTGATAAAGCAGGTTTTTGTGGCAGCTTTCAGTTTGTGGTGGATATTGGCCATCTCTGCCTTTCTCCCCGTAAGTGAAAGACTGTGTCTGAGTGTGAGTGTCACTGTGTACAATAAAACGTTCTGTGGTAACTAAGACAAGGAGGAGTGAGAAGGTAATAGCGCCTGGGATGCTGATGTTGGGGATCTGTTCTTCCTTTAAACAGCAACAAAAAAGAAATGTTAATAACGTATTTGGGTTTAATCTGATCTCCAGCTCATTCTATACGTTATGTCTCAAGCATGCAAAACTTGGTGTTGCAGAGGATTTCTGCATTATGTGACTGAGGAAGAGACCACCTGAGTCTTTGAGCACGGTTGCTGGGTGATTTTTTTCATGAGATACTGTTTTGCCACATCTTAGAGCTTATTTTATAGACACAAATGAAAAGTGAAAGTTGATGGGCTATGAACCCAGTGTGAAGCAAATCAAAATCAAAGGTTTCCCTGACCTCCTGCGAACAAATCAGCAAGGGTTTTGTGAGCTCTGGTTATTCTCAGCAAGGGAAGTTGGACAGGACTGGTTGTAAGGCCCTGAAGTAAAGCCCCATGTGATTATTAGCTGGCACAGATGCCTGCAATTTCACCTGTACCTCTTTCAAACAGCTGTGTTTGCCTGGAGAAAAAAATGCATGTTGTTTTAAATCTTTTTCCTCTCTTTTTCCTCTCTGCTTCAGGAGCAGCAAAGGATCCTGGAACTGGGGATCACAGGCCCTGAAGGGCATGTGTTGAGCAGACCTGAAGAGGTGAGGACTTTATTACCTTTGCATTTACTCCCTCAGTTTATAACATTCCTGCATTGCCATCAAGTACTTCATATTGGGATGAATGTGGCTGGAAACATGATTTCATCCTGGCTGTAAAAATTATATGCTGCACGGGGTAAGGGAAGATGCTAAGACATTTCTAGGAACTAACTAGTAACTAATCCCTTCTAGAGACTAACGGCTATGGGTGCTTATGAGGAATTGAGGAGCCCCCTCAGCTCAGTACTGGAGAAGGGGGTATGTCCAGGGAGTAATTCATCCAGCCTAAGATTTGACACACCTTCTGGAAGAGCTTGTCTGTTAATTATTGGAGATAGTCTACAAAGGCTCTGCTCCCACATCAGGTATCTAAAGTGAGGTGAGATGTGTTTGAACCACAGAGCTCATGATAAGCACTCAAGACACAGAGAGCTTTTGGTACTCAGCACATCTTCAGTTCATCCCTTTGGTAGCCCAAACTGGACTGCTGCATTAGGAGATGTAGAAAACATTGAACCTGAAGCACAGGTAGAGCACAATCTACCTGAATCACCAATTCCTTGATTCAACTGCTGCGCATGAACGCTTCAAGGTATAGTTAACCTCCATACTTCCCCACTGATTTCTCTAGGGTCAAGCACCTCAGACCTCCTCAATCCATCTAAGTCTTTAAAATAAATCTCAAAAGTAAGAAAGAACCTTAAAACTTTGCTTTGCAGGTTGGTTCCCATTGCATCCTTCATTTCCAGTCTCTCAGTACCTCTAAGCTAGACATCTCACCGTGGCATGCTGGGTTTCTGAAGTCCATCCATTATGTACAAGCAGTTCTTTTTGTTCCTCCGAGATCTTGGGGCTTCACTGACTGCCAGATGTGGGAGCTGGAAGCTGGGTGTGTGAGATCATCCACACGTGCCCCTCATGCTCCCTCTCTATTTCCTCCCCTTGGTTCAGACAAGCAGCATCCAGAGACATTTCAGCAGGAATATAAATCATTCAGTTACTTCATGCAGAAGTAGGGGAAAAAACTGCTCAACTTGGGCAGTATGTGAATCCTCACAGAATTCGTGTTTGGCTCTGGGAGCTGAGATTTTTTGCTTCCTGAAAGTTGTGAGCAAACACTTGCACTGAGCTTTCCACCCACCCGCTCACCCCTGCATTTTTTTTAAACATATTTTTTGGTTAGCATCAGGAGAGCAGGAACAGATGCTGACATGGCACTTGGAGCTCATCTGTGGAGCACCCCTAAACTCTTGTTGACTTCAAAGAAAGGGTGCTCCTTACCTTAAAGGATCTGGCCATCGAACTAACCAAGTCTTGTCTGGCTACTTCAAAGCTCATCCTTGGTGGAGCAGGAGCTTTAAAGTGTGAACTGTGTGGTTCCCTGGCTTGGTTGGTTTGTTAATCTGTGCAGACATGTGTTCTTTCTCAGTGTAGCAAGGAAGGCTGCCTGAGGACACGTGGCTGCCTCAAATGAGGATCAGTAAAGCCTGTTCCCAGTGTCACTGGGCAGCCTCTGCAGCTGAACTCAGCTGTGCTGTCTGCCCAGAGTGTGGAAGCATTTGGTCCAAAATTCTCCTCCTTGAAAGTCATAGGAAACAGAGCAGGAAACGATGTCATCTGGTTCCCTCCCCTCCTTTTCTCCAACGCAGGAGTGACTTTATGTTTTTAAAAGCATACAACTCCCTTTAAGCTGGCTGATGATAAAGGCCAGATTCTGAGGGTGGCAGCAGGTCCATAATTCCTGCTGACCAGTAGGAGCGAATGTTCCTCACTATCCCTCTGGGGTGCTGTTAACACTAGAATTGGCTTTTCATGCTGCCCTTGCAGAGTGTAAAGCCTGTCCTAAGGACTTTACGATGGTTGTCATCTTACTGAAGAGCTGCTTAATTCAGACCTCCGTCTACAGCAAACTAGCAGGAGTTGTTGAACAAGTCTAAAATATTTATTAAATCAAAACGCCCACTTAAGTCGGTGAGACTTACATCAGTGTGAAGCATTCAGGGCCTAGCCATGTGTGTTTGTGTCTTACTTGGAGTGTACACATTTTTTGAATTCGCAGGTTGAGCGGAAGGCATGAATTAAGGCTTAAGTTTCAGGGCTGACTCATGGGTTTAGCTTGCTCACTTCAGTAACCTGGGTTGAGCCAAGGTGACAGTATTCAACACGTTGTTCCGGCCAGCAAAGGCAGCCTTAAGACACCGCCATCCCAAGTCAGCATCACCCATCACTTTCTGGAGAACTCTCTCCCTCATAGTTCAGATCATTCTGTGATGACTTTTCAGAGCGATCCATCATTTTTTGTTTTTATTTTAGCCACAAAAACGCTGAAAGCACAAGCAGGCCAAGTGCTCCAGGAAATGTCTTGTCTTTTTTTCCAAGAGAACTGCTGTGCTAGGGCTTCTAATGCATACTGGTAATTGCAAACATTCCCCTTTGGACTAGTCGCTGGGTTATTGTTATGTGCCTGTCACCATAGCATCTGGGCACAAGGCATGAATTCAGCAGCCTTGTTCTCTTCTGTGCGGAAAATATTCTCCTCCTGTTTAGCTGTTGCTCAAATGCCTTTTAGTTAAAAGTCCGGAGATGCCTGTTGTTTTATTCCTGCTTTGCAAGTGGGGAAGCTAAGGCACGGCTTGGAAACGTAACTTCCAAGTGCTGCAGTGACAGAGCTGTGTGCAGGCCTGCTTCAGGCGGGCGGTTTGCAAACTGATGCCATTGCCCCGCAGCACTGGCCCGCCCGAGCTCTCTCCTTGTCTCTCAGGAGGGACAAGTATGCTTTTCTTGGCTCTTCCTCTCAGCCTCTGTCTTCCTCGCAAGTGCTGCTGGCTGTAGCATACTCGAGTCAAAGGTCCTGGAATAAACACCCTCCCTTGCAGCCTTTTCCATTTGTATGGGGCAGCTGGGCCAGGAAACGTCCCCTTCTGTACATCACCCTGCCTGGGGAGGTTAGTCACACGCCTTGGCGTGGTGACAGGCTAGGGCTTTAACCCTTTTGTCACTAGAGACCAGCCGACTGGGTCTGGGGGGCTGGTTTTCTTGTAAAGACTCCCAGCTGTTGTTGTGTTGTTTTCCTGAGCAGTGCAGCTGCAAGCAGAGCAGCGTTACACGCGGTGGCTTTGTCAGTGTGAGCAGAGCTGTTCTGGGCACTTGGACATTGCTCTGGTGAATATGCAGTTTTCTAAGCTGATGGGTCCCTAATCTCAGGTATTTATTTTGGTGGTCCAGGAAGTGCTAGGAGCCAGCAGTCAGCGCGTTCCAGTTCTGGGACTGATGATGATTTACAGCTCTTGGCCTGCGACAAGTCACTGTAGAGCAGATTTTCAAAAGTGCTGAGTGTGTGCCAACCCCGCTGGAGTCCACGGGAGGTGCTGGTAGCCTCTTGCATTTGGGAATCAGGTGGCTGATTGCTCTGTGTTTCAGTGTCCTCTCTCGTTCGCTTGGAAAATGCCTGTGGTATCGCAGGCTCAGTTCTCCATGGTAGCAGGCACTATGAGCATTACCCCGCTGTTAAATCTGTCATCTGAACTGCTTTGACTAGGATGTGTGATCTGTAAAAGTCTGCAGACTGATGACGTTCATTCTGAGGCTGTAGTTATAAAGTGACCCTCAGTCTTGCTGAGGTTATCTCTTTACATAGGCAAGAAAAAGTAGCTGATTTATGGGGTGGTTCACACACTGTCAGATCGCAAGCCAGATATTGTAGTGGAGGGTACAATTTAGGAGGCTTGTTTGCAAACGTGGCTTACCAGAGTATGTGGCTACAGCATCTCTTCCGCGTGGGCTGGAACATGAATAGTTTCGTTGAGTCAACATTTAGTTGCTTATTTTTGTCTAGGTTAAAGAAGAGACTTAATCATTCTGACCTTGAGCACCTGGCATGTTATTTTAGGACTTAGTCTGCTTGCAGAGAAACTTTGAAGCAACCTGGGAGAAAAGGTAGTAATGAGAGGGGACTACAGCTTGATGTCGTTTTAATTATTGTGATTACACTGTACATTTTTCTGGCTCAGAATCGGAGAGTTGGAAAGTCATGTTGGCCCTGCACACCCTGTTTTCCTGTGAAAGCAGAGGCTGTGACCCTCTGAAGGTGAATGCTAACGTGTGAGCTCTTACTAACTTGCTGCTGACTTTGTTTCTCAGGTGGAGGCAGAGGCTGTGAACCGGGCAATAACCATCGCCAACCAAACCAACTGCCCCCTTTATATCACCAAGGTGATGAGCAAAAGTGCCGCTGATGTCATTGCTCAGGCCAGGAAAAAGGGTAAGTTATTTCCCTTGGATGGAAGCACCCTATTAGCTCATGCAGTTCAACTCCTTGCCAACATAAGCTTCATCCCTACAGGAAAGGTTTCTTTTTCCAGTGTTATTGCCCAGGCTCTTTTTTAAAAGGCCCCGAGCAACTCCTTCTGTCTCATCTGCCACAGGCACGTATTCAGGGGTCATATCAGTGCCAGGAGCTGTTTCTTCTGCTCAGCCCAGAGCCTCTTTCATCCTACCACATTGAGCCACGCACCTTCGTGTTATCACAGAGTAATTCCGTGCTGTCCCCATTTAATGAATCTCCCTGGCAATTGCAAACTGTGTCCTCCTTCCAGCTGCTGTGGTCTTTCCTTGGGGGTTTCTGCTGAGCTGCTTCCTGGGGTCAGAAGCGATTCCAAGAGTCCCGACAGAGGTCTTGACTCACAAGCCCTGCTGGATTTAGCTGGAGTAGCCAAAGAGGTTACTGATTCCAGCTATCCACTGTGCTCCCTGCTTGTGAAATAGCTACTGCTCATGTGCTGTAACTCACAGCCTGGCATCCGAATGGGAACTGGGATCAGGAGGCTGGGTTAGGCTGGGAATTGCAATCGGCTCTGATGACTCTGCCTGAGGATGCTGCAAGAAGCAAGACTCAGACCTGCCGTGGATGCTGCTGCCTTGTGTTTCTCCCTAGCTGGGGTCTGTGAGGGAGCTGCGCTGCTCTGAGCAGTGGAGTAGCGTCCCCCGAGTCCTGACCCAGCTGTCTCGCCCCCAAGAAGCAAGGGTTACAAAGCACAGTGAGTGCCTGTCTCCCTGCTTTATTCTGTGACTAAACCCTTCATTTCTATTTAAAGCAGCTCGGGATGGGTGAGTAAGCAGGAGGGATGATTTTCCCCCTTCTTTCCTCAGAAGGGTTGGATTTAATTTGATGCCGTCTAAATAAGCCTGAATGGATATACAAATGACATCACTTTCCATCTGGGTGTTTGATGTGAGAAGAGCTAATTTCCTACCGCAGCAAACAGATCTGTTTGTGTACTGGCTCTGAAGTATTTTGGTCCCATGATTCCTGTTAAATGAGTTCAGAGCTGGTGAGGAGGACTGATTTCCAAGGCATTTCCTTCTGTTCGTGGTGTGGAAGCAGCTCAAGTTGCCTGGGATAAACCTTCCTCTCCTAGCTCCATTAGTGGAGATCCTGCTGAAATGAGAAGATGTGTTGACATGGCAAAGTGGCTGCATGTTGCATTACCCCAGAAAACAACTTGATGTCATTGTGCAACTCAATCCTAGAAGCCCAAGGAGGTGTATCTTCCTTTTTCTAGGTGATGTATTGGAGACACGCACCACAGAGATGGAGCATCAACAAAAACACCTTCTGGCTGTGCTCGCTGTCCCCTGAGACCACTAGCTGGCAAGCAGAGAGGGGCATTGGGATGAGGGACCATACACTTATATTGCAAAAGCCATAAAACACAGCCTGACTTGGGTGGATGTTACCCTGCCTGTGAAAGGTGCTGGGGTTGTCCCAGATGACCGATCCACAAGGATTCACTTTACTTAGCCTCCTGAGTGAACTGGCATATGCAGTTTTCATTCAGATTGCGTTTTCTCCTTATAAGGAGAATTCGGGGTATAAATGGCATGCCATTCTCTGTTCCTTTATTTAAATAATTCAATTTAAATGCTGTGCAGTTACCCAACTGGGTAGCCCAGGAGGGCCACACACATTAGCCTTGCCCTCCCAAGCAACAGAGGAAACATAACTGAAGACTATCCAAGGCAAAAACAAAACAGAATTGATTTGCTAAATGGAAAAGGACGAATGTTATTTAAAGCCAGATGTTCCCAGTGGCATTTGCATGGAGGAGATTCCCTGCAGACTCTTGTCGTTGGCAGATCTGGGAGCTCAAAACATCGCTCCCTGCAGAACAATCCTCCCAATGTGTTGGCCTACAACAGGCCTCCCATTAATAGCCAGCGTGTGTTTTGCCTTGTTCTGATTTCGTAACCCTACTTGTGGCAAGTGATGTCAGACGGCCTCTTCCTCTGCTGGTGGATCCCCTCTGACAAAGGCTGTTCCTGCACCTCCTGTTTCAGTGTGGTCCTGGAAGCAGCGTGAAGCCAGTTAATTCATCGTTCTGCCTCAGTTAGTGCACTCTTTCCCAGCCAGCTCGAGAGCCTATGGATAGAACAGTAGCTCAGACAGTATGGTGAAAGAAAGATCATATTTTTTCCACTCTGAATGGTGAGGTGTGTAAGACCCTGCTGACCAATTCTGGGGTTGCCTTTGCCAGTCTTCTCTGTTGGAAGTATTTAGGGTTAGTATTTTAGTTACCCACGTCTTTTGCAGGCAGATAGAAACAGATGAAGTGTCGGGGCTCAGAAGCCAGATGGGTAAGCACTTAACAGAGATTTCGGGGAGGTTGCATTTGGTGAGCAGATCTGTGGGGCTACCAGCTAGCACCGCTTTTGAAGTTGCAGCATCTTGCATCTGCTTGGTGTGCAGATGTTGCTGGTGCCTTCCAGCTTGCGAAGTATCGCGGCCTTAAGGGTCCTCTGTTCCTTCATGTGGTTCCAAAAATGTTAATGAAGAGGAAGGATGCACTGGTGGTTAGCACACTGGACAGAGAGTCAGAAGATCCAATTTCATTTCCTAGTTCTGCCAGAGATTTTCCATGTACCTTTGGGGGAAGCACTTTGTTTCCCTGAGCTGCATTTGTGAACCAGAAACACCGATATTTCCTCTGTGATGGGCTTTCTCTGTAGGCAGGAACCTTTCCTAATAGGAGTTTTCTCTTATCTGATCTGTGCACAGAGCCTGCTCCAAGAAACCCAGCCTTATTAGATCTTTAAAACATACACATTTATAAAAATATTGCAAGCGCTGTTTTTTTCATTCTTCCACATCCCTTTTAGATCAGACTGGATCTCCTCACACTCCTGCAGTTCCCCTCAGCCTCCTTCATAAGGCTCTTGGCCCAGGATACAATACAGTGAATCTTTAGAGTGATCCTTTCAAGCACAATTAATCAGTGCCAACCTCAGCAATTATCCCCATTTTGCTGCTGCAAGCTCTTATAAGTAACAATATCTTTATTTTTAACTCAGATATTTAGTTGTTTGGATACTTAGTCTGATTTAGTTGTTTGGATACTTAGTCTGAGAGACTGATTTTTGGAAAATGCTCTGTGTTTCTTTAGAGATCTCAAGGCAGGCATGTAAATGTAAGGGTTTGCTTGTGAGAACGTGCCCCTAGTAACATAATACAGTTTCTGAAGAGCATTGATCGGGCTGGGAGTTTGATGATGTCTGATCATGTGGTTATGCAGGCCAGTGAATTCAGTCCCACGCTGTGTCTCTGTGATCACATACTTAAGGGGAGGTACCGTCGTGCGATGCTGGCGTGACGTACTGGACTTGTCTTTTCAGAAGGATGCTTTATGCCTGGAAGCCAGGCTAGAGATGCATGTTGCTGGGTGCTCACAGTGGATTTGTCTGTATTCCTGTCCTGTAGGCACTGTGGTGTATGGAGAGCCCATCACAGCCAGCTTGGGTACCGATGGATCTCATTACTGGAGCAAGAATTGGGCTAAGGCAGCAGCTTTTGTTACTTCCCCACCACTGAGCCCTGACCCAACCACTCCTGATTTTCTCAACTCGCTACTGTCCTGGTGAGTAGAGCTCTTTGTGTTTGTACAACACGTGCTTCGTCATGAGACAAGTGCATGATAAAAACAATAGTTGTTGTTGCCAGTCAGCAAAAGGCTCTTTTACCTTTAGGATTAAACCCGTGACAATAAAATATCTTAATTATCAAACATTGCCTTTTCCAGTGGAGACCTCCAAGTTACTGGCAGTGCCCACTGCACCTTCAACACTGCTCAGAAAGCTGTCGGGAAGGACAACTTTACCCTGATCCCCGAGGGAACCAATGGGACTGAAGAGAGGATGTCCATCATCTGGGATAAGGCTGTGGTATGTCACACATGTCATGGGCTGCAATGAGACATTCAGAGCTGGAAGAGCTGCAGCAGTGTGTTATCTCCCCCTAGACGCTTGTTATGGTCCTTCCACTTGAGGTTTTTGCCCCCACAGAGATCATTGGGAATCTGCTGTGCTGCCAGCTATTTGCTTTTTGGAGTGGTCCTCGCCTGGGTAATGCAGTGACTCCTTTTGTCTTTCCCCAGGTGACTGGCAAGATGGATGAGAACCAGTTTGTCGCTGTGACCAGCACAAATGCAGCTAAAATCTTTAACCTGTACCCGCGGAAGGGGCGTATTGCAGTGGGCTCGGATGCTGATCTGGTTATCTGGGATCCTGACAGTGTCAAGACAATCTCCGCCAAGACTCATAACATAGTAAGGATATTTTCTACGATGTGAGCTCTGCTGCTCATTTCCTCCCCTCTTCCTTCAGTGCCAGACTGTGCTGCCAAGAGCTAGAGCTCATGACAACTCAGGGCTTTGTTTTTTTTGATGCCTCAAGCCCTCTCTGGTCTTACACCCTGTACAGCTCAGTTGTGTGAGCAGAAGGGAGGATGACCGGGTTCAAATCTGAAATCACGTGAAATACCCAGAGATTCCCCTCGGAGCAAAGAAATTGTCTGCTCTTTCTGAGTGCTGGTTGCTTGGATCTGAGCACACAGAAAGCTCTTTACATCTCCTAAAATACCAAAAGGCCTTTTATCACAATGTGTCATTTATGACCTTCTGGCTCACTAGCAGTGGGAATGTGAACTGCCCCGTTTCTGGTTGGGGCCAGTGAAGCTTCTCAGCTCGCGGACACCTTTGCTGGAGATCTGCTCCAGAGCAAGGAGTCCGGGTGGATTTACATCACATACTGATCTGGCACATGTGTGTGGAGTCACACACAGACATGATTTTGATCACCCCAGTGTTCACTGGCCCAAGGCAGCACCCAGACTAACCAGACCTCCCCTTGTTTCATCTGCAGCTTTGTGGTGGCACTGTTAGAGGTGCTGCTTGCTTGTGGCCCAGCGCTGTGTCCCATATCTTATACCTGCCTCCTACAGCGAAAAAAGCTGTCCCACCCTGAGGGAAACTGCAGAATGGTCCCAGGGCAAAGGGCTGGTTGGAGCCTCCCTGTGACATTCGAGCACTGTCTCAGAGAAAGCAACCACTGTTTGCGTTTGTTGACAACTTGTTTCACTGCTGGCGATGAACCTATGGAATGTTTCCCTGGAAAAAAACTCCTTGTTCTTTTTTCCGTGAATGCTTTCATTCACTCTGGAGCTGAAGGAGCAAAATTTTCTTCCACACTTGGATCCCTGGGCACATTCACAAAGAAACTTTTTTTAAAGGTTTGGTTCACTTCCCTGTGATTTAACTCCGTGTCAGAATTGGTCGCAGATGGCCTGGATTCATCCTGCCTGTACTTAGACTTTGGACAGAGGCAGCCAGACTCAGAAGTTTGGTCGCTTCAGTCACCTTAGAGGTGCTTCCAGAATCCTCACACCTCCAGTGTGAAGAGGAATGACTTATGAGGAGGGAGCCCAGGGACATACTGCTGTTAGGTGCCAAACGTAGTGATCTGAACCTGGCTTTGTGCTTCTGAATGGCTCAGAGAGCTGGAGGTGGCTTTCTGGATGGAGTATTTGAAAGTCATTGGCATTTAATGGCTGTTGTCTTTAGGAAATGAGTTGGACTCTTTACATTTCCTAACACAAAACTCAGAGACTTTATCTTTTGTGGATATGCTCCAGTACAATCAGGATTGACTCCGTGATTTTGCCACAGATCTGAGCTAGGCTGAAGGAGAACCAGATCCACCGTGGAGCGGCCATTCAGAAATACTTTATACACTAAGAACTGCAGATCCCCCTGAAACTCTTGCACCGTGTAAGAGGCCTCAGCACTCAACGATCAGCTATTGCCAAAGGCTGCATCTTAAATTGTGCCAAGACTATGGAGGATGGAGTGCTCTCCTTTTCCAGTGGTTTGTTTAGAGCTCAAAGGGCTATCTAAGAAATCGCAGCTTTTTTTCTTACATGTCCAGCTCCAGCCTCTTTCCCGGTCTTTGCGTCGCCTGTTATACCTGGCATTACACCTGCTGGGGTGGGTTTTTGTGCCTCACTGCACGTGTGCATTGTGTTAGAGGAGAAACTGATACGAGTGATGCCTTTAGAGTCAAGGCATCCGAGTTTGGTCAAGTATAAAACAAAAGCCCCTTTGAAAGTCAGGCAGAGCAGTTGCTGCGACACAGGGAGACGTAGTGATTATGTGGCATCAGATGATTGTTACTTTTTTTAAATGCTAGAGCAACATATGGTATTTTCCAAGAATTCACACCGCTCTTGCCACTGTCTGGCAAGGAAACATTAGGAGCTAGAGAGGGAGATAGTGTTGTTCTTGGAACCAGCCTAATTCATAAGCTTCTAACCAAGCCTCCTCCTTTGCCACCACAACTTTTTTTCAGACTGGACCTGGTTTAGTGACGGTTTAACCGCCATTCTAGTTAATTGTAAATCTGCAGTCAAGCCTACCCATATTTATAACACACTTCAAGAGCAAACTCCATTATTAACTCAGTAAAAATGACCTGGATTTGTCTCAGAGATGGTCACTAGAGTAACAGTCCCTAAATAACACGGTGGTTGTGCATCTCATTCCAGGATGCTTCATAGCTGAGATGTTCACCAGTGATTCCTTTAAAGCTTGCCTTTTTTTTTTTGTGGTGTAAAGTTTCCAATCCCGTTAATTGAAGATGAGCAATCCCATTAGAGTATAACAAGATTGTCTTGGCTCCTGATCCGTCAACCAAAACACTGGTTTGAAATACAGCTTTTCAAAATTATCATTATTTGTAGTATGAAACAGATAAAACTCTATTTGGATCCTAAACCCTCTGCAGTTTGGCAGAGATAGGCACCTAAATGCATTTAAACAGGTGGGCTTTCTCATCTGAAACTGTATTTCATCTTTATGAATCTTGTTGCAATGGAAATTTTGCATGAGTAGATCCTTAGTAAATTTAGACTGATAATACAGCCCGGCCTTTCTGTTAAACCACAGCATGTACAACTCAGGTAAATGCTGTTGAGTTTGCTTCTGTCTGTCCTTAAAATTTTGGCAAGTAGCATGACTGGCGATTGCTAATTAAAGCACAGCAGGCTTTGCTGGGATGCATATGTTTGCCTGACGTTGTCTTTCCGTTTGTTCCAGTCTCTGGAGTACAATATCTTTGAAGGCATGGAGTGCCGTGGGTCTCCCCTGGTGGTTATCAGCCAGGGGAAGATCGTGCTGGAGGATGGGAATCTCCATGTCACTGAGGGATCTGGACGGTATATCCCCAGGAAACCGTTCCCCGACTTCGTTTACAAGCGCATCAAAGCCAGGAGCAGGGTGAGTATAAATGGTTGGATGCACGTTGGTTCCCTCGCTGAAACTCCTGAGTTAAAGTGGGTGGAAAACAGATGCTGTCCCCTGGCTCGCAGGCACACGCTTCTGCAACAGAAAATGCTCCCTGGATAGGAGCCATATTTATCTCATTCCTCTCCCATTTTTGCTATTCACTTGAGTCATTGCAGGAATATGCTTTGGCTTGAGCTGGGGTTTGCTGCAAATTTTCTGCTCTTCGATTCTTCTCGGGTTTGGGACACCTAGACAGAGCAGGTGTCCAGGAAGTGTCCAGTTTGGACAGGAGTCAATCTGCAAATAACCCAGCAGGCTTCTCCTGTCACAGAAATACCAAGAGAAGTTACTGATAGCATTTATATATCAAACCTTTCAGCAACAATTTAGAACTCTAGTTTTTTTTATAGATATATTATGCTGCTTTCCCTTCTGTCAGATATGATCAGATGCTCTTGTCTGGTGACTGGTGAGTCACTGGAACGGCCTACTGACTGTTTAAAAGTGAGAATATTCTATTTTTAAGAGGCTAAAATGGTTGGAAAAGTGTTTTTAGAAAATCCACACATTCAAACCAGAAACAGCCTTTTGATACGCCATTAATTGGTAAAAACTGACAGGGAAGATGACACTGAACTCAGCTGCAACTTAGTTACTGAGAATTTAAGAAGTTTACTTCTAGATGAAGTCAGATTTATGAGGAGAAAAGTGTTTTGATATTCGAAGTGTTGCCCCCTCCTGGACAAAACCAGATCTGTGTTAGTTCGGCTGAGCATAGGTAATCTTCACGTTTCTTGCAAATGATCTTTCCTTAATTGTTCTTTTGAGGGAATTTCAAGTTAGCGAAATTACAACCCCAAATAACTTAGCACTGCAGAGAACAGATCCGTGGTTTCTGTTGTGTTCTGGCCTCCCGCAGAAATACGCGTCTGACCTATAAATCCAATTGGGCAGCATCTCGACCGGAATAATTGCATTTAACCCAATCTAAAGCTCCCGAGCTGGCGGTGTGGAGCTAGCCTGGCTCCTCTTTATGCAGACCTGCCTCAGTCTCAGCAGTGTTTTGCTTTTTGGGGCTGGGTGATAAGTTTCATTTGAGAGTTGTCAGGAGCCTTTAATGGGACAGCAGGTAAGTTGAGCTCATTAAAGGACCGAACTGGGGTGCCGGGGTCAGCCTGGCTGTCTTCTGTAGGCTGCTCACACCAGCTGGCAACTAGCTGGAGCCGCAGCAGCGCGGCGCGCGTTTCGTTTTGTCCGTGCTGCTTCAGAGGCCAGCCACCACCCGCGGGTCGGCACGGGGGAGATGATGGACGCTTTCAGATCCTCCTGCAGATCTTGAACCGTGTGTCGTTGGATTAGCAGCACCTGGCCAGCTGTTTAGTTCTGGTCCGAAGGCTGTCCGGGCCCTGAAGGCTGCCTGCTTCTGTGTTTTGCAGCTGGCCGAGCTGCGGGGTGTGCCTCGAGGCCTCTACGACGGCCCCGTCTGCGAAGTGTCGGTGACACCGAAGACTGTCACACCCGCATCTTCAGCTAAAACGTCTCCTGCCAAACAGCAGGCCCCGCCCGTGAGGAACCTGCACCAGTCTGGATTCAGCTTGTCTGGTACGTACTTTTATGGGGCTAAATGGCTTTTGAAATCATGGCTTGTTTACACTCCCATACTCCGAATTAATTCTGCTGAAATTGGAAGGCAATGAGAGAGAGCGTGACGTGTTTTTAGCTTGGAGGTTATCCCTTTAGAACGGAAGAAGATCAATATAAGAGCTATCGTCAAGTCCTGCTTATTTTCATGCCGTGGCATGAATGCTGAGTGTCCCACTGCGTTCCGGGCTCGGTCCTCAGCTGGGTGTCTGAAGAGGGCAGATGGCACCAACTTCAGCAGAGCTTTGCCAGCTGAGGCCAGCTGTGGAGCTGGGGTGTGGCAGATTGGATTTCTCAGCATGGCGTTTCAGTGCAATGAGGGAAAACTGTCAAAAGGAATAAAAAGGCTCGTTAAGGGAAAACCACTCAGCCAGCTCCTATCTGTGCAGGGCTGGGCGGCTCAGGTGATCGTTAATGCAGAACAGGTTTCAGCAGAATTAAGGCACTGGAGGTTGGGAGGGGCTCTTCCTCCGGAGGTGATGCGCTGTGGTGTACACGGTTGGAGCCTGGCCTAAGAGGGCTCGACGGGTCTCGGTGCAGCCGTGCTCTCCGGACCCCCCTGTCCTGCAGCCCGCTCCTCGGGGCCTCTCGCCGGCCCCGGGGGGACCTGACAGTTGCTTCTCTCCCCCGCAGGGGCACAGATCGATGACAACATCCCACGCCGCACGACTCAGCGCATCGTGGCACCGCCCGGCGGACGCGCCAACATCACCAGTTTGGGCTAAGGACCGGCCCCGTCTGTGCCCGCCTGGCAGACCGGGCACGGGGGCACCCGGAGACCCTTTTCTGATCCTTTTAGAGCCTGTGACAGTTACTGCGGGCAACCAGTGAGGGGGGGCTGAAGTAAGGCGCCTCCTTCAGTCCCCTCAGATTCCCTCCTCATCTTCACCAACCCCTCTCACTTCCCCCCTCAGCCCCTACACATTTAAAGAAATAAACCCTGTTTTGACACCTCTGACATGCAAAAGTAAATGTAAAGAGGATGTTTGAGATATGTGGCCTCTGTCCCATTCAGCATCTTTCTTTTAATAAAGGAAGGATAAAGTGAATTTCCCGGGAGCTGCCTTTAAGACACACACAAAAAAGGAATAAATAAATAATAAATGTAAAAAAAACCCTTTTTTTTTTTTTTTTTTTTTTTTTTTTTTGGTCTTTTTTTAATGTCAAGCAGAAGAGTAGTTCAAGGGTTTTAAACTGGATATTCTGTAGGGTTCTGTGTTCCAGCAGAATAGCTAGGCAAGCACGGAGGGACACGAATCCCAGCCTGTCTGTAACCATTCCCCAGCACCGCCTTTGAGGTCACTGAATAGCTGTCTGCTGCCAAGAGAGAGAAACAGGACCCAGCACTAGGAATTGACAAAGCACATCGCACCCAGCCATCGGGTGAGCTAGAATCGTTGGGGACTTTGGTTCTGTTGGTTTGTTTTTTCTTTTTTTTTTTTTTTCCTTCTGGATTTTGCTGCAAATTAGGTCCTCGAGGAAACTTTTTTTTTTTTTTTGATGTTTCTGTGTGTGTGTGTGTGTGTTTTTAATATGTTTGTATCATTGTGTTTACGAAGCCTTATCTGAGAACTGGGATTCTCCCTGTTCTTTCTGGTCCTTCCCAAACCTCATTCAAGTTCCAGACTCCCGCCAGTGTCACTGCCACTGCCACCCTGGTACTTCAGGTGCTCCTCGGTTGCATCATTCCAGCCACCGCTTGCCACTTAGCTGCAATGGGAGGTCGTGGAGCAGGTTGATAAGCTATGATCTTCATTTCAGTGTACTAGATCTTGAGCTGGTGCAAACAAAGGGGCTGGGTACCAGCTGAGGAGCTGGGACGGAGCCTCCTGCGAGGTTTTTAGCAGTCAGTTTGTCTTCTGTTCCTGGAGGTGGAAATCGATAAGCAGGGGGCCATGAGCCAAGAGCACCATGTTGCTTTGTAAGTTTTCTGGAGCAGCCGTGTTCCCCCTTCCTGGCCATCGATGAGTGGTTGTTTAAAACTTGATGAGAGTTTATCTTTGGCTCTCGTCGAAAGGCTGGTCGGCTGAGTGTGTGCCCGAGCATCTGTGGCGGTTCCAATTCGAGTCCAGATGCCCAGCTGTTGAAACTGGGAGCCTCGGAGCAGCTCGATGGGTCAACAGCAGCTGAGAATCTCTTGTACATGGTGCGAATTTCACGGGCACCCTTTCCTTCAGGAATCTGCCTCTGTGCAAATATTCATGAGAAGGCCTGGTGGCTCCCCACCCTTCCTCAGATGCCTGCTGGCTCAGATTTGAGAAACCAGAGGCCACGAGTGGTCCTTAAATGAGTTTAGGAGCCCCAGCTTCTGTGACAGTTAGCAGGATCTAGGCATGTAGCTATTTTCTGGGATGGGAGGTCTTTTAGCCCTTGTATTGGAGGCTTGCTATTTGCAGGACATGGAGAATAAATCTGCATCATTAGATTCCCACTTAAGCTCAGCTGGAGGGCTCGGCAGTCCCGAGGGCTTGGCCTGTCTCTTAGCACAGAGAGCTTTTCTACCCGCAGTTAGCACAGCGTTACCTCCACTGTCTGTCTGCCCTGGCACTTAGCTGCATCTTCTGCTTTCCCTTCTATTTGTACTTTGCCACGTGCATCGATCTTGTTTTTCCATCTTCGTGAGCATTTTCTTCAATGGTGTTTACAGGTTCTTTTAGGGAAAAAACTATATATATGAAGGCTGTTAAGAAACAAGTACCAAATTTTTTGTTACGAAGTATCAATGCTGGGATTTGCAAAGAATCTGGAAGCTGCTTAGGTACCCAAACCCTCCCAGCTTCAGCACCTAATTCCTTCAGGCCCTTTTGAACACAAAAGTTAAAAACATTGCCATATTCATCCATGCATTTTGCATTTAGGTTTAACTCTTGGGTCTTTTAGTTTTGCATAAAAGATTTTGCACTTTGTTTGTTAAGTAATCCGTGAACTTAATATATATTGCAGCTATTTTCATTTTTTTTCACCTGTATGTTAAAATCAATTAGAACGAGTTGGGGAGAAAAAAAAAAAGAATTGCGAATCCGTTTCAATTCTACGAAACACTTGCGGCTCTTCAGTATTCACTTAAGTCTTCCTTTTTTTTTTTCCTTCACACTGACTCATGATGACTTTTTAGTTTTAATTTGTTCTTCAAAAGGAAAAAAAAAATCACAAAAAAAGATTTTTGCAGGCTATGTAAGCATGTTTTTTCCTGTGAGAGCTCGTCCACTTTGTGTCTGTTTAATGAATGTCATATGTAAATGCTTAAAGAAAAAAAAAGACGATGACTTAATTAATTAATTAACCGCAGTGACTTGAAGCTCTAAAAATAAAAAAAAAAAGTAGGAATTAATACTAGCTGGATTTAACCCTTGGATTTGTGATTGTGAACCATGAGTGGAGGAGCTGTAAGTGCTAAAGCTGATCATGTGTGTAGACAAAAAGAAGTACTGATATTTGACCATTGTCTCAATGGCAAAAAACCCCACCCCAACCCCAAGTCTTGTGTTTTATTCCTTAAGAACTCTGTGTTATATTACCATGGGAACTCCTAATAAAGACAAAATGTTGTTGTTTCACTAGGTGCATCTGTGTCTCAAGGCGATACGTGTTCCGTGTAACTGCGTACCTTGGCTGGTGCCTTCAACAGTTAAAAGCTGAGCTCTGAAATCGCTGCACGTAGGCAGCGTGGTCCTGCGTAGGAGTGAGAGGTCCAGTAGCAGAGCTGAAGATAAGGTCCCATGGTTCCTTGGAGGATGGTGATGATAAAGAGGAATCAATGGCCCACAGTGTAATTTCCTTTAGAGAAAAGCGAGCCTCTTCTTGGGGCAGTTGTCTGTTTAAAACGGTATTCGGCAAAGCAGAGACATTTGCCTGAAAAATCCTGGCTCCGCATTGCAGAGATCGCTGATGAAATGTGAGCAAAAGCAGCTAAAAGTATTGGCATAGCTCTCAGCCCTCCAATGTGTTTCTACTTGGACCCTCCTAACAGCAATGGAGGAGGGGAGAGAAAGTACGGCCGTAAATAGAAGCCACACACAGATAACTGAACGGGGAGTGCTAGAGCTGGCTGGAAAAACGCCAGCGAAACCTTCGGTGGTGGTGGTGGTGGTGGTTGGGTTTTGCTGCGTCGCAAGGATGCTGGGAGAGAGGTGGCACGGGATCGTGGGACGGGCTCAGACAGAGCCGGCAGCACCGGCAGCCGCTCCCACCGCTGGTTGCTGCGTCCCTACATCCACCAGATCGACCCTCTTGGAGGTCCTCCCCCAAATCCGAGCACAGCGGGAGGCTGCGTCTGACTTTGCAGTGATGTTTAGCTCTTGCTCCTCATCTGAACAAAACCAAATGTTAAAGCCCTCTGTGAAATGCAGTTAGCTCTCTCCACACAGCTTTAAACTTGGCACCGCTACCCAGTGGGGAGTTTGAAGAGGGTTTCCTTTGTTGAGAAGGGGCAATGGTCAGTCACTAATAAAAAGTCTTCTGGTCAATGTGGGGATCCTGGCTCTGTCACCAATGACGTGCAGTTATTTGGCTACTGGCAGCTTAAATTAGATATTAGCATATATGCAATCAAATCCCATAGAATAGGTTGGTGGGTAGCTGTTTGTAAGACTTATTAGCTTGTCCCAACAGTGATCTCTCAGTAAAAGACATTCAGCCTAAAGCACTGGTGTTTAGTTAACATACATTTGCAGAGCCTCCTTTTGTTTTTATTCTATCATTATTTCTTCTTCCAGCACTTCAACTGGAAAGAAAGAAACCTCTTCCCCAGGAAATCAATTCCAGGGACTCAGTGAACCTGATCCATGTTGGAACAGGCCAAAAAATATCAACTGAAGCCTATAAAAATTTTTGAGGTCAGGAAGAAGTCATCAACAGCCAGATCTAAACTTAATGTGTGCTGAGGAACCAAGCCTGTGAGACATCTCAGGAAGATAGGTCAGTGGGGCAGGTCTTGCTGCTGCAGAAGAGCATGAGATTAGCTGTATTTTGTCAACTCATTAATCCAGGTAATTCCTTATGCCGGCAGCAATGAGGCCCAGCTCATGGCTCGTCACATATGTGGTGATTTGGTTCTCTGCAGGCCTCCCATTGACTGGTCTGCAGCCACACATACAAGACCCGATACAGATCTAATCTGATGTTAACGTTGCTATAGAATTAGCGGCGGAAAGAAGAAGAACGAAAGTAGATGATGAATTGGACTCAGTGACCTGGAACACTGGCTGTCAGCTCACGAGAGGTGGGTTATCAGAGCGGAGGACAACGTGGCTTGATTTATTCCTTAGTGGCAGGGTGTTGGGAGCAAGAATTGCCCCTGGTCCTTGCATCTCAGCTGTCCTGCTTCAGCGTGTGCCGAGACCTAGCGCAGCATTTTCAAAGCCAGGGCTTCTCTGACCTAGGGCTCATTCATATCTATATTTATATATCTATATAAAAGCATAAATACGTGCCTCTGTTCAACCCAACCGGTTTTGCAGCAGAGGAGGTTAATTTGCACTATTTTTCTACGCATTAAACCCAGTGTTTCTGCACCTTAATATCTTCCACCACAGTAATCTGAGGGTGTCTGAGTGCATAGGCCCCCAGGGCTCCTTGGCAATATGGACCTAGTTGCTTTGCACTTCAAAAAACCCCACTGTTGGGTAACCTGTAGTGTGGGTTACCATGGCCAGCACCTTCACATGGGCTGGGAATGTGGTATCACACCCCTAACTAAGGTTCTGTATGTGATTCTAGATAGCTTGTGCAGGACAAAAATCCTATTAATTAATACTAAGTTTAATTAACTTTATTTTCCCAAGATTTTGATGACTCTAAAAATTAAAGCGTTTAGTACTTTTAGCTGCTTGCTCTTACACGGATGGAAGCCTCAGAACCAGTTTTCTCCCCTTTTTTAGCACAAAAGGTGAAGGTTGGGCTCACCCCCATTAGGTGGCAGCAGGACCTGCAAAAATGAACATGACAAACTCCCTTGAGGCACATGGATCATCTTAAGAATGATGTAGGATGTAATAAATGTAGAACATGCACAGGGCTTATGATTACTGTGACAGAGAGATGACATGCACATATATCCTCTCTATTATATTAATATATTGGATACTATTTCAATGTTCAAAAGATATGAATCATCTGAGCGTATTCTGTTATAGTTTAAGCCTAACAAGACACCCTCCTACAATACAATACAGAGCAAGCCATAAACTTTATCTACCAATTTAGTTACAGAAAAAAAAAAAATCAAACATTATTTTTTGAAAACAGATTTTGGCTTTTCTTCACAAAAGTATGATGTCCAAGAGCAGAGGTAAGGTAGATTTGAAGAAATGGCAGGCTTTTCCTTCCTCTGAAATGCTTCTGTTTCTTTTCTGCCATTTCCTGCTCCTCTTCTGTGGTTAACAAATATTTTGGCTTTTGGCTTTGTGCAGCCGTTCCCTGCATAAGAAGCTACTGGTGGAGAGGGAAACAGAGGGAAAGGATGAACAACTGTTTGGTTTATCATATTAGCTGTTCCACTCATTTCTCATTGAGAAAATAGTAAAAAATAGAAGTATGGAAAAAAACCCTAATGATTCTTCTTCTGTAACATGGAAAATAGGCAGATTTTTTGCTCTGTGTTGTTTTTACCAGTAGCAGGAAAAGTTTTCCCTTAAAAAAAAACAACCACCAAACAACAACAACTGCAACAACAAAAAGCAAAAACAAAAAACCAAAAAAACAAAACAAACCCAAAAAACACATAAAACAAAACAAAAAACCCCAAACAAACAAACAAAAAAACCAAAAAACCTAAACAAACAGAGAAAACCAAATAATTTTCTTTCTTGAAAATAATTAAAATGAATTCAGGTCAGCACTAAGCTGTGCCACCATGTCTTTCCAAGAGCTAGCTTCTGGCTAGTATCTGCAGGAGAATCATTTCCCTCTTTGCTATTGCTCCCCCTATCCCTCTTTCTTCTTGTAAAACTGCAAACTTTGCCAACCAACTGCTCTACAGTTAGAGGGGATTATCTATTTTTTCTCCCATATACCACAGACCTTAGAAGTTGCCCTCTGCCAACTCAGGTAAGTTGTGATTGACTTACAGCCTTGGCACACTAACTGTGGATTTACCACTGTGTACTCGAGTGTGCTGTTCTCTCCACAAGCATTTTTTTTGACCATTAACCAACAAAACTTGGAAGATGCCGTGTAGTGAGTCTTCCAGTGCTGACTTGCGAAGCCTCAAATGGCAGAAAACCGCTCGGTTATTTATTCCATGGATTGTTCATCTTCACGGTTAATTTTTTTCCCCTGCTGCTGATTTGAATGGGCCTGCCTTACGTTTCGCACCCGTACTTCTTGTTACGCCTTCCTACAGCAGAGGACAGATCCCCCTAAGCCCGACGTGGGACCCTGCTCCGGGGTGAAACGGGGTGGCCGAGCTGCCGAGCCGAACGCGCGGCTCCGGCTGTCTCCCACCCCGCGTCCCGCTGCAGAGATGCAGCCTGTGCCCTTGCGTGGCGAGAGCAGATCTGCAACCAGCGTCACACTGAATATTCCCAAGCTCAGCCAGCCCCTGCGTGCTGGCGAGGGCTGCGGTGCCTTCCCCTCGCTCACCCGCTGCTGTTCCTCTGAGCTGCAGCCCGGCGCGACACGGCGGCGTTACTGCAGCGGGTTCCTGACACCACCTAAAACCGTGGGAGGGTCTGACCCGATGAGCCTGCACCCTTTGGGTTTTGGCTACGGGTGTGGATTCCTGTTGCTGGTATATGTTAAGTGCCTATAGAAAACGAAGAGCCTCTTGTTGCAGCAGTCCTTTTTTGAAGTTGCATATAAGGCCAGTATTTGCTCCCTGTAAGGGCAGTTGAAAAAGTATTAATGCTTATTGGTCAAAAAGAAAAGTTTTAAATTGCTCCTTCTTCCCACGTGAACTGTGAGTATAAGAGTCATCACACTTAACCGGTAGTGTTGAATTGTTAGGATTGGAATGTAGAGGGTGACAAGAAATTCATGCTTTGGTGGGTAAGCCAGACCCCACAGAGCAATTGAGGGCATTTATACTTAATGTCTGTCATGCAAAACATTCCTAAGATACAAGGTAGTGCAAATGCAAGAATAAATAAAGTAAATCACAAATCAGTGTTACCTAGACAGTTTTGTCTAATGATAGCTTGATCTGCTTTCTGAATTTCAATTCCAAAGCATGATAATTACTACCCTTCTTTCTGCTTTGTTCCATTCAGATTTCAGAGGCAGGTGTTCAGAAACTTCACTTAAGCTCACACACATAAATTTCAATTTCATTCGTGCAACAGCTGCATCTTGGCCTCTGCCAGTCCCTAGAACAGGAGCAAGCAGAGTACAGCATTCCCATACAAACTGTTGTTTACTAACGGTTAGGTGAGAGCAGCAATGGGATGTGATTACTACAGCTACTCAATATGTAAAACTATCTCAGTTGTTAGCCCAGAAAATCTCATAGTAGTTTTTTTGTAAAATGATGAGTTAAACTGCTGACTGAGCTCTATTTTCTATCAGTCTTAGTCTTATTTTAAATTCGAAAAGTAATCCCTACCCCAGAGACTTTTCTGCT